CCGGAGTCATAGAATTCAAGAGCCATGACATAACCATATTGTTCTCTGCTTTCCAATTTTTGTAACCTGGGCTTTTAACTTCCGGTTGGACCAGATCAATGGACAAGTATTCTTCTTTACCTTTCCCTCCGATGAAGATTGAAACAGAGTGAGACCAAAGGTTGTAGTTCTGGCCATTCAGCTTATATGCAGTGGGCAAAGAGCTGTAATCGAGATTAATGGTTGGTTGGATTTGAGATGAGTTTTTGAGTGATGTGCTGGAACTAACATCATCACTGACTAGGGCAATAGGTACATTACCGAATTTGATTGAAGCATTCATGATGAGAGAGTAGTGGAAGAACCCAGTAAAAACAGGGGAAAAAAAGAGAGAGAAAATTGATTTGGAATGAACCCACCAGGGAAATCACTGATTCAGAAGAGACCTGACCAGCCCGTTGAAGAATGATACTCGATTAGAGCAGGATCGAGTGCTGCTCTGATACCATCAAGAGTTCTGCTTATCTCTTGTAGATAGGAGAGGATAAGAGAGATAGAGAGAGAAGCTCTCAACTTTATTATTTGTCATTCATTTCTTATCCAATCAAACAGAAGGAACAGGATATAAATAATAATACAGGTAGCAGACTAGCAGTGACTCAGCCCTAATAGTCCTGATAATTACAATACTACCCCTCCATGCTAAATAAAGTAAACAAATAAGGAAAACTAAAACTCAGGAATCTTCAATTATTATTATTATTATTATTTATGTCTGCAGTAATTAGTGTTGGTTAATGTGGTAGTGGGTAGTTACTCCTAAAGCAACTAGCAGGGCACTAGGCATTTAGTGGGCAGTTAAGTTTATGGAAGTTATAATCTGTAACCAACCTTCCTCTATTTAAGAGAAGGTTTATTTTCAATAGAGATATTCTTAACAAAAATTCTCATCTTCTTCTTCCACCATTCCACACGATATTCACACTACACGACTGCAGGCTGCATCATATATATGCCAGCAAGCAACACCGACAATTAGACCTCCGAGCAACCTTTTGTCTCCTATTTCAGTCCCGTGACGCGATCCAAAACCCGGGCACATAACAATTTGGTATCAGAGCCAGTCGTCATGGGTGAACCAGAACAATCTGCCACCAAACCCTCCATGAGCACCCGAATGAAGGCACTCGAAGATCAAGTCTCTGCAATTCATGCTATGCTTCAACAGTATATGCAAAATCAAAATCAACCTGGTCACACACACATGCTGCTTCCTCTAACAACCATCCACCATCTGGTGATTTCATGAGAATCAAAGAGATGAACGCCCTAATTCCGTCTTGCCGAAGTACTCTCGTTTAGAGTTCCCAATATTCAGCAGCAAGGAGGATCCGCTCGGATGGCTCCATCGATGTGAGCAATTCTTCTGTAACCAAAACACCACGGATGTTGACAAGGTTTCATTGGCTTCCTACCATATGACGGGCGGCTCAGCTTTGGTCTTACAACTTGGAATTAAGAGAGCCAAAGCTGCCATGGCCCCATTTCAAACATTGTTGCAAGTTACGCTTTGGCCCTCCCCTAACAGACAATGCTCTAGGAGATATTGCCAACTTGAAACAAAGTAAGGGATCAATTGCAGGCTATAATGAGAATTTTCAGGGCCTTTTGGCTCGAACGACAACAATTCATGAAGATCAGTTGGTTGAGTTGGTTGACTTATATACTGCTGGACTTGATGAGGCTCTACGCATGGAGGTGGAGTCATAGCATCCAAATAGCCTTGAAGTGGCCATGAATCTGACTCGTTCTTACGACGCCATAGGCCGCTTAATTCCGCGCTGGTACGACCAATCCCTTATGCCGACGGTCCTTACTAAAAGTCAACTACACTCTCAACCACTCAGGAAAGACCCAAGTCTCGGGAACCAAAACTTCACCAACAACCTTCAGAACTCACTAGCAATTCATTTGGCCCCTATATACGAAAACTCTCGCGCAGCGAGATGGCCCAACGCAGGTCAAGGGGCTTGTGCTATAACTGTGATGAAACCATATACGCCCGACCATAGGTGAAAATGACTTTTCTATCTTCAACTTGAAGTGTCCGAGGATGATGAAGCTGCAGAAAGGAGCAAACTGGCCGAACCAGAAATCTCTCTTCACGCCATCACATGAGTTAACCATGCCCAATCCATGCATGTTGTGGTCATAAACAAATGTTCCATAAAGGGCCTAAAGGCCCTCATCGATACAGGTAGTACACATAATTTCATTGACGTGAATACAGCAAACCGCTTGGGCTTAGACATTCAATATTGCCCAAGGCTTTGGGCGGTTGTGGCTAATGGCCAAAAAGTGGAAGGAATGGGGGTGTGTGAAGATGTGCTGGTTTGCAAAGAGGGACAACTCTTCCCTGTTTCCTTCTATGTGCTTCTACTAAATGGCCTCGAATTGATACTTGGAATAAAGTGGCTACAAACACTTGGGGTTGTGGTATGGGATTTCTCTTCCCTCACAATGAGCTTCACTTTAAATGGGAATTCAGGGGAGAATGTTCACAAACATTATTCTAATCATGGTGCCCAAATGAAGAAACTTTTCTCCATTGACAAGATCCCAACTCCTGTGTGCGCGCTTACTTCACCTGTACCACTATGGTTTGCTAAACTACAAAGCTGTGCACCCCAGGTGATATTCAAGTTGTGGAGTCAGATTCATGATGTGTTTATATCCTGCCTTCAAGCTTGAAGGCAAGCTTGACTTTCTAGGAGAAGTGTATTGATACATTCCACTAGGTAAAAGGCTGAAAGTTCATACGCAGAGCAGACTGGAGGCACATTATTATTATTATTATTATTATTATTATTATTATTTATGTCTGCAGTAATTAGTGTTGGTTAATGTGGTAGTGGGTAGTTACTCCTAAAGCAACTAGCAGGGCACTAGGCATTTAGTGGGCAGTTAAAGTTTATGGAAGTTATAATCTGTAACCAACCTTCCTCTATTTAAGAGAAGGTTTATTTTCAATAGAGATATCAGAAAAAGTTTGTCAATAGTTAGAATCAAGGAGTTGGAGAATTCTCAACAAAAATTCTCATCTTCTTCTTCCACCATTCCACACGATATTCACACTACACGACCGCAGGATATATATGCCAGCAAGCAACACCGTCAATCAGACCTCTGAGCAAACTTCTGTGTCCTATTCCGGTCCTGTGACGCGATCCAAAACCCAGGCACATAACAATGTCCTAACTAAGCCTTTATCAGCCTCTTCCGCCCTTGACCTAAGAACCAAACTTGTGTGATTGAATTTCCAAATCAATCACCCTAACTTTTGGGGGGGGGGTGTTTGGAATACTGTAATAAGCTTAGTCTATGTCACATATTATTGTGAAGTCTGTTATATTAGTTCGAGACTGTTGATCAGTTAGTTAAAGTCTAGTTCTCTATAAATACTTGTAGAGTTCTCATGGATCAATAAGAATTCTCTTTCACTCTCTTTCTATACCAGTTACATTTGTAATAGAGGTGCTCCCGTTATGCGTGAGTTGTGACAAATATTCTAAACTGGATCCGCTTCTTTGTTATGAAGCAACGGTCAGTCCATGCAATTCTCGATGCGATTTTCACCATGGGTCATCCGGAAACAGCCTATCTGTGCTTTAGTACAGGGGTAAGGTTGCGTACATCCGACCCCCCTTACATCACCGTAAGTGGGAGCCTTTGCGGCACTTGGGTAATGATGATGATGATGATATATTATTCTTGTTAATTGTTATCAAATGATATACAAGAAGCTATATTTATAGCTATATTTAGAATACACTGGTTGCCTATACAACGATATACAAAACGGGATAACCCCAATACTACTAGGGTTTCCACTAGTATTGAGGTAACACGGAGTAAGAAAGGCATATTTCTATCTCAACGTAAATATGTATTTGATTTGCTAACAGGGAAATTGGGAGCAAAGCCGAGCAATACTCACATGGTTCCATTGTGCAACTCACTCAAGAAGGCATGCAATTCGAAGATCCAGAAAGATAGAAAAGGTTGATTGGAAAACATATATATCATGTAGTTACTCATCCGGATATTGCTTACTTTGTGAGCGTAATGAGTCAATGACCATTAATCATTGGGCTGTTGTAGAACATATATTATGTTATTTGAAAGGAGCACCACGATGAGGTATTGTTTACAAAAATCATGACCACATGAGAATAGAATGCTTTGCAGATGCCAAATGGGTTGGATCTAAAGATGACCGAAGATCTACATCTGGGTATTGCGTCTTTGTTCATGGTAAGCTAGTATCCTGGAAGTGTAAGAAAAAGAACGTGGTTTCCCGTTCGATTCCTGAATCAGAATATCGGGCTATGACGCAATTTGCATGTGAGATTATATAAATCTAAGCCATTTATTGAGTAAAATTGGATTGAAGACACCAATGCCTGCTAAATTGTGGTGTGATAACCAAGTTGTTATACACATAGCGAATAATCCAGTATTTCATGAGAGAAAAAGCATATTGAGGTTAATTGTCATGAGAGAGGATACAAAATGGATTGATGTCTACTTGATATGTGAAGACTGGAGAACAACTTGGAGAATTACTCGCTGAAGCACTAAATGGGATTGAGTTGATTACTGGGTCCATGCCGTTTTTCCATTTGGCGTAACCTTATATTGTGAGAATAATAAACCAAGATGTTGCAAAATCCAAGTCTATTACGAATAGCGTACAATGGCAATTGCAACATATGAACTTTTATTGTTAAAGTACTAAAGGAGTTCTTCCTATTTTCACAAATAATGGAACTCTTATTAGTATATAAATCACAATTTCTTGATAATATATTTCTTATCTAATAAAGTAATGCTTTGAATCCTAGGGTTCTAAGCCTATGGTTTCTGGCTATATTCCTATATATTTCTATACATTTAAATATTTTTACATAGGAAACCTTTGAAATGCGTGATACTCTGAAGGGTGGGGGATATCATATTACCTGGATCAGTTCTTGACAGATATCCACGGTTGGAAATCCTGCACTGAAAAATCTATTTGTTGACAGGGCATGAAATGCAGGCAATAACATGTCACATAGCTTTGATTCTACATAATTCACAACAAGAGAATAGTCATCCCTCATATCAGATTCTGCGAAGGACATCGGCATCATACAATGATAGAGAGAGTGATCTTGTCCTTGAAACATAGCAAGAACAGAGAAGCCCCACAAAAATTGGATTTCTTCTAACTCCAACTTAACCATGCTGTATCCAGAGATGAAGGTACTCTGTAAATCGCTTTCAGTACTAGAAGACTCCTTAGGAACAAAATTCCCAGGAACAGCATCTAATACAACTGCGCGCAGAATGAGAGGCCAGGATTCCTCAAAACATGGCAACAGATTAGTTGAAACTAATGAAGATTGAATTCCATCAAGGAATGGTATCCACTGCATTGCACAGTCAAAATTGTTAAATGTTAATCCACAGAAGATAGAGTGGTACAATTATATAAGCATGGCAATTGATTCCTAACTGTGGACTCACATTCTCTTTAGGATGTGAAGAGAAGCAGGCATAACAGTAGTCTCTCAAAACACCAAGCCAGTATTTACCCAGAACGTTTGAACTCTCAGAGAACAGCGGTAATAAAGCTAAATACTCAGCAGAAATCTCACTATGTTGGTTTCTCAAGAATTCATATGTATAACATTTTAAAGAGGCGTGAGCAGTCAGAAGCCTTATTTTGATCTAGACAGAAGATTATCAAAAGACAACAAAGTTAGTCAAAATTGACAAATACACATCTTATTAAACTGGTAAAGTTGCAAGTTCATTTGGATAAACTGTGATAACTAAGATCAGGATCATCAAACCTTGCATGAAACCCACTCTGCAAATGATGGATAGAAAAGGTCATCAAATTCACTTAGGAGTCGAGAGATCAATGAAAATAGTCGTTTTACAGAATGTTGGTCATGAGTGATGATTTTACAAGTCAATATCTGCAGTTTTGATATCATCATGTCAGCAATAGGCAGTGAATTCATTCTTGAAACTAACAAAATAAAGCATGTAATAACTTTAAAACCTTAGTTGCAAGCTGCAAGCCCGTTTCCAAAAGTACAGGACCAGAAGATGAGTCCAATGCTGTTCGAATTGCCGACACAAATTGGGCCTGTAAACATCAATATGAAATACTCTTCAGACATTAAATATAAGTAGCAGATGATAAAGGGTGTGTGTAAAAGCTCTCATCATCCAAAAACTTAATGAAGACGTAGGAAAAGAGAAACGAGTAGACGAAGAAGGTTGCAAAGACACTATGGACTTTGGTTCTTCCCAATGCCCACCCTTGGCAGAGCACTGGTTCGCATACCCCACTTGTCCTCGCAGAATTCAGACAAATTTGACCAAGGAATACAATATTTGATTCATAAAATAAACCCTTCTCTTGTCAACTTACGGTGTCGCCTAGGCGTCGCCTAGGCGCCGACTAGGCGTCCAGTCGCTGGGAAGGGGTCGCCAAGAGTCGTCGCCTCGCCGGAAGAAGAATAGGCGACTATGGCGTCGTCTAGTCGTCTGTTTGGCGATAAGGCGTTCGCCTTAGCGTACATAATAGAGTAATCTTTCGTAGTTCAAACTGAAGGCCCAGATTTAGTTTTTGGAAACAAAGTTTTAGACAATTAAAATAAAGCCCAAATCTTACTTGACCATTTGTAAACTCAACCTTCGTCCCGTACAACTCCCGTCGCAGCCTCGCAGGAAAGAAGTCAAGCATCCGACATCGCTCCTAGGTTTTATGGGTTAATTCGGTGCTTTTTTTTAGTCACTTGTTCTTTCTATTTCTTCTAGCAGTAGAACACCCACATGCGAGCAACTGAGAATTGTGCGAGCTTATTTTTTCTTCTAGTGTACCTTACTACCTTATCTAATACTGCAAGTGGACCGGTGTGCTTTTTTGGCAGTGGGAAGAGGCCTAGTGGGACACAAAGTAAATCTAATAGACTAATACTATGTATTTATATATTAATATACTTCGTATATAGCGGATCTTTTCATAAAAATGTAAGTTCTTTTCTTTGTTGTGTTTCATAAACATATTTTTATAGCAGTTTATTAGTATATTAATATATTTAGATTTTAGATTGAATAATACAGTAAATTATATAGAATGTATATTCGGTGCTTTTTAGGCGGGCGCCTTGTCGCCTAATTGTCGCCTAGGCGGGCGCCTTGTCGCCTAGGCAATATGGCGGTCGGTTCGCGACTCGCCTTACCGCCGTGACAAGCATGGTCCCATGTGGCTATCTAAACCAACTGAGGACCTCTCGTTTCCCTCCAATTATACCCAACAACAACTAATGGCTTTGGCATGATGTGAGGTTGACCCAGCGGCGGAAAGGTGCTTAAGGCTGTCAGAGGGTACATGGTGTGTCGCTCACCAGTGTGTTGCAAAAGACATCCTGAGTTTTTCTCTAAGGAGGAAAAGCCAATTTATAAGCAGTTGGGTCAATGCATCCGGTGATTCCGGTCATCATTAATGGGCCAAAGTACATAGGCAACAGCTTATGGTGGTGAGAAATAAGGACAACTCATAATATGGATGCATATGGAGCCACATCAATCACCTATGAAAAAGGAAAGTTTCCCATGGTTCATATTATAAAGATGCTTTATGCGGTTCTAAGCTTGGGCTAATTTTTCTTTAGGAGAGGGTTAACAAAGCATCAAAGTCATGCAATTCTAGACCACCCTATAAAGTTTAGCAGACCGGGGTGTGTGAGATAATAATTTGTGTTAGAGAATATGTTACCCACCAGTTTTATGGTTGGACATACAAAAGAAGAGGCCAAAGAGGAACAGATGAAGTTAACAGAAAAAGTGGCAAAGGAAAAAGGCCCAACAAGCAGAAGAATTCTAATAGTATTAGTATTACTATTTCATATTAAGTAGTCCTACTTGGAATAGTCTTACTCCATTATAATTCTTTTAGAATAGCAACCTGGCTTACTATATTTTTAGGAAACCCTTATAATTCTTGGAAAAGTAAGAAGCAGAATGTGGTTTCTCGTTCGAGTGCTGAATCAGAATATCGGGCTATGGCACAATCGGCATGTGAGATAATCTGGATAAACCATCTATTGAGTGAAATCGGACTGAAGACACCAATGCCTGCTAAACTCTGGTGTGATAACCAGACTGCTATACACATTGCCAACAACCCAGTGTTTCATGAGAGAACAAAACATATTGAGGTCGATTGTCACTTTGTTCGAGAAAAGATACAACAAGGATTGATCTCTACAGGATATGTGAAGACGGGAGAGCAACTTGGAGACTTGTTCACTAAAGCACTAAATGGAATTCGTGTTGGTTATTTATGTAACAAGTTGGGCATGATAAATATCTATGCTCCAACTTGAGGGGGAGTGTGAAAGACATTGGAATATGCTGTATAATATGCTTTAGAATATTCTTCTATCTTTAGAATATGCTTTAGAATATTTTAGGAATATACTCTAAGATATTATTATTGTATAGCATCTAATATGAATATTCTATCTTTGTAATGTATATATATAGGGACTTATCCCTCCAATGAAATACACAGAAAATTCTTCCATTCTCATTACTATTATATGCTTAATTCTGATAACAGTCTATATAAGAGGTTCTCAGTTAAATTAATAAAACAATTTTGGAGAGAATTAACTCTGGGATTTCTTGACAAGGTCGGAAAGCAATTTAGTTCTGTCCATCTTTCTTAATTTTAACTCTCGTAATTTAATTCCAAATAGAGTCAGAAGCATCCGTACCTCTCTCCTCTCGATCGATCAAGGGCTCTCGCTCCAGACCTTGGACAAGGTCACTTGCCCGTGCCCTTAACAACATGGTATCAGATTCTGGGACGATGGGGACCAATTCTACTGCTGTTGATTCCATGAAATCTGTGGAAACCCTAGTAGTATTGGGCTTAGCCCATTTGTATAGGAAACCCTAGTACTCTAAATATAGCTATAAATATAGCTTCTTGTATAGTATTTCATCATCAAGTATATGAAATATAATAATACTTGTTCACATGGTATCAGAGCCTATTCGGCAAATATAGTTAGCTAGTTAGTGTTATAAACTGCCGCTCCGAATCCGGACAGAAATCCAGGCCATAATTTCCGGCGTGAATAGTGGTCGCAACTCACTTGAGTGCTTTTGGTAGTGATACAAGCCTACCATCGTGCTCAGCTCTACATAGCGACTTACCGCCGGAAGTTTCGCCGCCGCTGCCTCACCCACGCGCCGCCAGCCGTCGCTGAAAGTCCGCACCTGCAGGTACACATCTTTGCAGATCTGCTCCGTCTTAGTCGTCTGGGAGCGACACCGACAGTTTTTTCAGAAACCTAGGTCCCTGACGACCTAGACCAGTCAGTCCGGTCCGCCGCCGCTCCCACACGCGCCGCCGCTTCCACACGCGCCGCCGCTTCCACACGCGCCGCTCATATCGGTTGTCGCCGTCTCTCTGGCCGCTCGCCGCTGCTCTGGCCGCTCGCCGCTGCTCTGGCCGGTGCTCTACCTATTTGACGGAATACCAGGCAGTTTCTTCCGCTGCTTCACTGCTCTCTGGATTGCTCTCTGGTCTGCTCTCTTGGTCAACACAGTCCAGCAGTCCAGGGAAGGTCTTTGTCAACCCACTCCAGCTGGATTACTTTTGTTTTTCTATTATTGGCAAACTGCTGAAGTTCTACTGAAGCGTTGATCCCCTCGACAGGTTTTAATTTTTATCTCCTGTTTGTTTGCTAATTTTAGCTTTTCATTCCTTTTATAAATCAAAAAAAAAAAAAAAAAAAAAAAAAAAAAAAACAAAAAGAAAAAAAAAAAACAGAGAGAGAGAGAGAGAAAAAACAGTACAAAAAAAAAAAAAAAATTGTCTTTTATGAGTTCTGACAGAGGAAACAACACCGGATACTCAAGATGGAATCGTCCTAAATGTGATTTTTGCCATAAAATCGGTCATACTAAAGACAGGTGTTGGAAATTACATGGGAGACCACCTCCCTCAGCCCATGTTGCTCAGCTCCCACCATCTCCCATTGTTCTATCACCAGAGGAATATGCAGCATATCAGCAATTTAAGGTGACTAATATGCCTTTATCCACACCTGATGTGTCTACTGCTTGTGTTTCAAACACAACAGGCTCATGGATCATTGACTCAGGTGCCTCAGATCATATTTCTGGTAATCCCTATCTTTTATCCAATATAACCAAGCAGCGACATCTTCCTTTGATTACTCTTGCTAATGGCCTTCAAACTTCGGCTTCGGGTATTGGGCAAGCACTTCCATTTTCATCCTTACCATTAGACTCCGTCTTATATGTCCCTAACACCCCTTTTAACCTTGTCTCTGTCAGTAAAATTACACGTGCTCTTAATTGTTCCGTAACATTTTCTGCTGATTCTGTGATTGTGCAGGACCGTTGTACGGGGAAAACGATTGGCGTCGGACATGAATCTCAAGGTCTGTATCACCTCCATCCTCTTGATCCAATCGCTTGTGTTTCAGTTGAACCTGCTCTTACCTTACACAATCGTCTGGGTCATCCTAGCCTCTCCAAGTTTCAACGTATGGTTCCAGGTTTCTCAAATCTTTCATCTTTAGATTGTGAGTCATGTCACCTTGGAAAACAACCTCGTAAATCCTTTCCAAGGCGAGTAAATAAACGGGCTACATCACCGTTTGATTTAGTTCATACAGATGTATGGGGTCCGTATCGGGTCACTTCTACTTTAGGTTTCCGTTACTTTGTTATTTTTGTGGATGATTTTTCCCGTTACACGTGGTTGTTCTTAATGAAGGAGCGTTCTGAATTGTTTCATATTTTTCAAACTTTTTGTGCTGAAATTCAAACTCAGTTCGGTCATTCTATCAAAATTTTACGCAGTGACAATGCTAAAGAATTTTTTGGGGCATCCTTTAATCAATTCATGACATCACGGGGTATGCTTCACCAATCATCTTGTGTTCACACGCCTCAACAAAATGGGGTTGCTGAACGCAAGAACCGACACTTGGTTGATACTGCCCGTACCTTATTATTACATTCTCATACACCGCCTCAGTATTGGGCAGATGCTGTGCTCACTGCGTGTCATTTAATTAATAGAATGCCTTCCTC